CGTCGTCTGTCGTCGTCGTCGTCGTCGTCCGTCGTCGTCGTCGTCCGTCGTCGTGGTCGTTGTCGTCGTCGTCGTCGTCGCCGCCGCCGCCGTCGCCCTCGCCCGTCGTCGTCGCGGTCGTCGTCGTCGCCGCCGCCACCATCGTCGCTTCTGTCATAGTTGCGGTCGTCGTCGTGGTCGTCGTTGTCGAGGAGGCCGACGGAGCTCATCCGAATCTCATCTTACTCTCATATGGAATTGATGATGATAGTAAGTTGAGATCCAGATGAGCAGTTTACAACCAAATCCAGTCAACCGCGTCCTCGTACTGTATCTCATCAAACTTTAAGATGAGACTAGTATGAATTTCGAATGATCCCCGTCGCTCTCGACGCCGCCTCCGCCGCCGACGACGATTGGAGCGATGGCGACGAGGGCGGTCGCGATGATGATGGCGGCGACGATGGCACCGAGCTCCCGGAGGGTCTTGCGCTAACTTCCCAAAGTGTCGGCGCTGCCGCAGCCGCGCCCCGCGCGACGGCGCCCTGCCCCCCCCCCGCCCCACTCATCTGACAGGCGAAGGGGAGGGCGAACGAACTGCGCGGCCCCTCGTCGGCCCTCCGCGGGGCCCTCTCTCAAATATTCCAGGTCGCTTTCGACGCCGCCTGCTTCTTGCGGCCCGCCTTGATCATCTCGTCGATCTCATTCGCGCCGGTCGCTGCCGCCTCGATCTCCGCCCGGGCGATCCCGGCGCCGTTCGTGGTCGCGCGCTTCCGCTCGAACGCGAGGGGCGCCCTGTCCTTGGGCCCGAGGGTGCTGGCCATGGTGGCCAGCGCCTCGAAGCCCGTCTCGATCTTGCGCCCCTTGCTGTCGTCGTTCGCCCTGCTGGTCTTGGCGGCGGCGGCGATCTCGCGAGGGAACCTGTTGATGCAACCGCGCGACGCTCGTGCTTCCTTCGCGACGACCGACGCGGCCTCGGGCATCTTCTTCTCGACCGATGGCTCCGTCTGTTGCGGCTGCTGCTGTTGAGGCCGCCGCTGCCAGTGGCCCCCCAGCTGCTGCCGGCGGCCGCGGTTCGGCTCGACCTCGAGGTTCTCGTACCTGACGTAGTCGAGCGTCGCAATGACCGCGAGCTCGCGGCCTTTGTCGCGGCGCTGGAACCTCCTTCTCCGCGGCCAGCCGCATCTGCAAGCACTTGGGCCACGGCGCCGACGGGGGCTCGGGGGTGGCGTGGTCGCGCTTGGGCTCCGAGGCCCTGGCCCTGATCGCGGCCGTCAGCGCATCCTCGTCGTGCTTCTCCAGCGCCTTCGTGGGCGGTAGTCGGTAGTCCACTGCCTGAGCGTCTCGTTGCGGCCTCGCGAATCGTTGAACTCTGCGGCCTGCTTTTCGTCGCCAGCGCGATCATCCGCGAAGTTCTCCGCGCCCACCGCAGAGCCGAGCTCCTGGATATTGTTGCGCTCGGTCTTCCCCCCTCCGCCCCGCGCTCTGCGCGGGCGACGTGTGAACGCGCCGCGCGCTCGGCGGCGGCGAAGTCTCTGGCGCGCATCGCGGCGACGGCCGCGCGGGGCGCCCTGCGCTGGCCGCCAAACGCGCGTCGACCCTGGCCGCCTCTGGAGGCGGCCCCTGCGAATTCCCTCCTCCTCCGCCTGCTAGATGATCATCGGGCGACCCCCTCTGGGCCGCCGTGGTGTCTGCTGAGGCCGGAACGGACGCCGGCGCGCCGCCTTCTGCTGCTGCCCCCTGCATCCCCTCGAGGCAGTGGTCCATTGCCTCTCGGGCCGCCATGCCTTCTTCCTCGTGGGCATCCCCCTCGGAAAGAAGCGCCCCGCTCGAGCTGGGGCGGCTGCGCGGAGGGGGGGTCTGAGTTCCGATGGGATGGCGATGGAGATGAGACGTGGATAACGTGAAGATGATGTGAGGATGAAATGGGGATGATGTGAGGACGAGAGATGGGACGATATGAGGATGATATAAAGACTAGATGCGGATGATACGATGACGATGCGAGGACGAGATGAGCGAGGCGAGGACGGATGGCATCCGGATGATACGAGGAGGAGATGGCGATGGATGGAGGTCCCGTGCGCTCGTGGAGGATTGATATTCTTCTCTAGTTGGCAGGGCCATGCGCGTCGCCCCATCCTGGAACAGGTTCAACTCCCAGGTGCGCCTCCTGGGGTTTCTCAGGGCGCGTCGGACCCGATCTGCTGGTCGAAGCACAACTTCAGGTCGCCCCCCGTCTCCCGGGTGGCGGCGCTGATCTCCTGCATGGCGCGCTGAGCGAACTCCTTATGCCCCTCGGTCCTCCTGCCTCCAATGCCCGCGATGTCTTGTTGCCGTCGAGCACGTGGGCCTCGCCGCGCTTCCTCTCCGCGGGGGCCCTCGAGACCGTCGTTGCGGGCAAGATGAATCCGTCGCCGACGCTCTCAACCTTCGCCTTCCACTGCGAAGGGCCCCCTGGCCTTCTTCGCGGGCGCCGAGCGCGCGTCCTCGGGGGGCGTCTTGCCCGGCAACCGCGCGCGGGCGGCATGCTTCTGCTTCGTGGCCTTGTCCTTCTTCTCGCCCGTCCCCCGCGGCAGGCCCTCGCCCTTGCTCTCGGCGAGCTTGCTCTTGCTCTTGCCTTTGCCCTTGCCCGCTAGCCCGCCGGCTGTCTTGGCGCCGCGCCCCGGACCTCCGAGCTCCGCGCTCGGGATCGGCCCTGCGCCCGGCCCGAGGACAAAGGGGGCGCTCATGTCGGGCGCAGGGTCGACGACGCGCGCCCCGCGGCGCGCCGGGCAATTTCGCGCCAGTCCGCAGACCTACGTCGCTGCCCGATGGGCGCTCGATCTTAGCGACCCCCCCCCGCCGCCCGCGCCCCGTTCGGGGGGGGGGGGCCCTGGCCGCCGACGCGCTCGCGTCGGCGGCTGCGCCCGACGAGGGGCTCGGCGCCGAGGGGCTCGCGCCGCGGGCGGCGCCGCCGGCGAGAGATCCACCGCCATCATCTTCTACAAGGGGTAGCGCGATCATCTCCACCAGCTCCTGAAGCGACGGGTTCTCCAGAAACTCGTTGTGCAGGGCTGCGTTGTAGAAGTGCTTCATCGTGGCCCGCCGCCAGTCGCCCGCTGGGATCTTGGCCGCCCCGAGCGCGCGGCGCGCGCTGCAACTGAGGGCGGCGCGCCAGATGCACATCTCTTCGAAGGTGCCCATCCAGCACTTGCGCGACGGAAACCCTGCAGGCGCAATCTCGAGGGGGATCTTCAAAGCGCCGGCGCGCGGCAGAGCGGGCGTCTCGTCGATGGCCCGCGCGCGCGAGCTCACGTGCCCCGCGCCGCCCCGCACGAAGCCAAACTCCCCGCGGTTCGCCTTCTCGCCCTGTTTGTCGGCGAAGGCCCTGCCGGCGAAGTGCGACTCCTTCGGTCGCGCGCGCCCATGGCGCGCCGCGTCGCGCGCCAGGCTCGCCGTCGCTTGGCCGCCCCCCCACCCCAAGGGGGCGCGGCGAGAGAGCGCCAGGGGGCCGCGCCGGGCGGGAAGGGCGGGGGACGAGGCAGTCGCCGCCATCATCATCGCCGCCACCATCCCCATCATCATCATCATCATCATCATCATCATCATCATCATCATCATCATCACCCCCATCATCGTCGTCGTCGATTGGTGACGTTGGTGGCGCCCGTGGGGGGCGGTGTCGGTGCACATGTTCTGTGTTTTTTCCTCCTGGCGCAGTTCGGCGGGCTGACCTCGGGCTGGCGCTCGCGCGGGAAGCGATCGCAACTGCCGCGCGCCATCCCGACACTGCTCGAGGACCTTCGCGACCTCTTTCGGGCGTGCTCCTGCTCTTCGCCTTGGCGCAGCAAGTGCGGCGCGGGAAAGGCTGCGAGGGCCTTCTCGTCGTGCTGCTGCTTGTCGTCGTGCTGCTGCTCGCTGTCGCGCTGCTCGCCGCCGTCGCGCTGCTGCTCGTCGTGCTTCGCCATGATCCGCCGCTCTCGCTCTTCCACGACGCTCTCGGGGAGGTGGCGCTTTCGGCGCCGTGGGCGGCGCCGTGGACTGACGCGGCAATGGCGGCGCCCTGGATGTGGCCTGCATTTGCGGCGGCATCGGCGCCGCGATCCCCGCTGGCCCCACTGGCATCACTGGCCCCATGGCCTGTGCTGCGGCCCTATTGGCCTTGCTGGCCTCGGCGCCGACTGCAGTTGCCGCGCCGTAAACGTCGGCGCCCATGGCGGCTGCGACCGCGCGACAGGCTGGACTGCGGCTGCGACGCATGCGACCCCTCTAGGGCTCCGACTGCGGCTGCGACGCGGCTGGGCTGCGGCCGCGACGCCTGGACTGCGTGAGACGCCTGCGACGCCTGGACTGCGGTTGCGACGCTGGTGCCTCCAATGGGCACCTCCTTTGGGCCTGGGGTCGCTGGCCCCTCCTGCGGGTTTGTCGACGCCTCCCCCGGACAGTACTCGGCCGAAGACGGCGAGGGCTTGAACGTTTGCGACGACGACGCCTCGAACCTCGTCAACCCCACGGCTCGGGCCCGCGGGCCCCGAGAGGGGGCCTCCAGCTACATTGAACCAAACGAGGCAACGGCTACGGTGTGATGTTGGCTTATGAGGTTATGATGATCCGAAGCTCATAATATCCGTATCAACGCAAACATAACTAATCAGCCGATTTAAGCGTAGTCAACTCAACTTAATCAAACTGAATCAACAGAATTATCACCACTCAAGACTAAGCCGCAACGTATTTGAATTTAAGTGAAATTGTTCATGCTGGCCTCCCATATAAACAACAACGCATGTGAACTTTTTTGGCACACTTTATCATGTTGACATTGCGATTGGTCAACACCACTTCAGCGCTAATGGAGATTTACCCAACTGACCAAACTCAGCTACTGGGCTGGGGGCCTCTCGGGGCCCCTTCAGGGCCACAGTCCTGCAATCCTCGATCCCCGCGCGTGGATTGCCCCCCGCCAAAGATCCGACGTCGTGACTTTTGCACCACGTCGACCCCCGAAGGTGTCGACCCATCCCGTCGGACAGACTTTTCATCCCGAGTCGTTTTGCTCAGGGTCGCGGGGCTCGGCGAGAGCCCCCAGAGTCCGAAAATCAAGAAACAAACCAAACAACAAAGCACGCCCGTCGTTATTTTTTTCACGACGCGAAGGGAGAGCATGATGCCACACATGAAGCCGATTCCAATGGGGAAACCATCGCACGGCATTGGATGCGTGAGCAGATCATGTCTGCTATGACAACGATGGGGCTGAGATGCCTCCTCCGATTTTGAGCCAGCGGTCCATTCCCGTCCCGTCTTCAGGGGCCGTTGCCGCCTGGCTCATCTGAAGGGGAACTGGAACACACAAATAAATACACACAAATAAAAGGATCCCCCATATTTTCCCACATTTTCGGGGTTTCTGTCTTCCCCCCCACTTCCCATATTTTCCCATATTTTCTGGGGAATCGAGGATTAATTGTGTCTGTGTGTTTCTTTTCCTCCTGATCATCGGCGATCGACACGAATCGGACCCGCGCCACCCTGCAGCCGAGCCGGACGGAGCCCGACCGCCGGCATCCGGCAGGCTGGCCGGGCCTCCGCCGAGAACTCCGACTCCAGGCCCAGGACCCCCGACGCCGTGAGTTTCTCACGACGTCGCCCCCCGGAGGTCTGGACCCTTTCCCCGGGGCCGGCGCTTCGTCCCGAAGCAATTTTTGATGGCCCCGAGGCCCGGGAAGGGCCCCCGGAGGCGAGTGGCGACAAACCTCCCGTCGTGACTCTCTCGCAGCGCGAGGGGGTCTGGGGGCCAGGGGCCCCGAGCCGCAGCGCGTCGGCAGCGGAAGCCGCCGGCATCGACTCGGAACCCCGGAGGGGTCGAAGCCAAGGGCTCCCAACTTCGCGCTTCGCGCTGCGCGAAGTGCTGCGAATAACTTCGCGCTCTCGCGCCGCCTCCCAAGGGAGAAGGGGAGGATGAGGAGTCGGGGCCGAACCGCGAAGCGCGAAGCACTTCGCGCCCTCGAGGGCGCCCTTGGAAGCGAGCCTCGGGCCCGTTGACGCCCGCCCGATCTTCAAAAAATATTCAAAAGATGCGCCAAAATACTAAAAAATAGTCCCCATACTATGTTTGGACTATTTTTGAATTCCCCCCCTGTAGAGGGACATGCCCGACTTAACACGAGCCCCGGGCCCGTTGCCGCGGTCTGAGACAACATCCTTCGTCGGATGTCAGGGTCCCCGGGCCTCGATCTCCAATCCTCGAGGAGGAGGAGTGGGGAGGGAGGAGGAGGAGGGAGGAGGAAGGAGGAGGAGGAGGAGGAGGGAGGAGGAGGAGGAGGAGGAGGAGGAGGAGGAGGAGGAGGAGGAGGAGGAGGAGAGGAGGAGGAGGAGGAGGAGGAGGGGTCGGAGCGCGCCCCTGGGCCCGTTGCCGCCCGCCCCCGCCTCGTCGAGAGGAGCACGCACCGCCCCCCGGGCCGCAGCACCCGGCCGGCCTCCCGCAGGAACCCGCCGTAGGAGGCCTGGTCGGCGCCCCGCCGGTGGGCGTCGCCGCACGGCAGGTCGCAGAGCACGGCCTCCCCAGACCTCCTCGCGTCGTGAAAAAATCACGACGGGAGGTTTTTCGCGATTTTCGCCCTCTGGAGGCCCTCGCCGGGCCTCGGGAGCGTCAAAAAACGACTCAGGACGAAGAACCGGTCCCGGGGAAGGGGTCCGGACCTCTGGGGGTCGACGTTGTGAAAAAATCACGACGTCGGGGGTCTGGGTCCGCAGGCGGGCCCATTAGAGGAAAAAGAACTATGCACATGCACCGATTCTGGCCAGGCCCATCCTGAGCCAAGGATCGGTGCATGCGCCCTCCTGCCTTGGCCAGGAAGGCATATGCACCGATCCTGGGTCAAGGTTGGGCCTTGCCAGGATCGGTGCATGTGCATAGTTCTCTTCGCCCGACCCATAGCATCGCCGCGGAGGGCCGGGGGTACCCAGAGAGCCGGCGCACGGACAAGGAAACTCGAGACGGAGGTGCTTCGCCGTCGGCCGGCCTCCAGAGGCCCTCGCCGGGCCTCGGGAGCGTCCAAGATCGACTCGGGACGTCGAGCCGGTCCTGGGGCATGGGTGGGGGCTTCTGGGGGCCCTGCATGGACAAAAAATCACGACGTCGGATCTCTGGGTGCACGCCGAATCGGCCATCGAATCCTCCGCGTCCTCCTCCTCCTCGTCCTCCTCTGGCGCCAGGTTCACCGGGGCCTCTGGCGCCGTGGCCCTGGGACGCACCCCGGGGACTCGGGCGGTGCCATTTTTTCCCCGAAGCACGGCCTCCGCCTCGCCGTCGCCGAGCGTGGACGACCGGAGGCGGGGCCAGCTCGAGACAACCTTGTCTTGCGATAACTCATTCGTTTCGCAACGTCGGATCTGAGGGAACGGCGGTCAGCAAAAAGACGAAGAGAAAGAGGTCTGCGCACGATGACACAACGACCTTACGCGGAGGCTTACACGGGAAGTTGGAGCTTTCGCGCGGCCATGCGTAGAAAACCTACACCGACTGTCCGCGCAGGCGACCCCTGTGTTGAGCAGGTACCGACCGTACCGGCATTCCTATAGGCCTACCACGACATGTCCTTTGAAACCCCCCAACATGTTCGAAGAACCAAAACACTGCTCCTAGAACATAGCTAATTCAACCCAGTGTGCGAGTCCAGAGCAATCTGAGCCACACATGGTCTGAAGAACATGCCGCGCAGACCACACAGATCGGGTCGGGCGAAAGGGCGGGGCAGCAAAGGGGGGGTTTGAGAATCAGCTCACGTAGCTGATTTTCCCGGCGCCTCCCGGCGCCAGAGGCGGCTATGTATCGAGGAATGGGCCCCTCGGTGGGGCCAAAACCAGCTGCACGCAGCACATTTCGTAACCACCCTTTCCCAATCCCACGAGAAAGAGGGCTCTTGGAGCACCCCTCGGTGGGCCTGCAGGCAAGCCCGGACGCTCCGCCACTGCCCGACTGCTCCTCCCCAAGCTGGCACGCCGGCGGCTCGCACGCCCTGCCCAAGCCCGCTCAAATTCCGGCCCGCGGACCCGACAGGGTCTATTTGTGGGGGCTATTTTTGAGGATTGCTGGTGTGTGTATCTTTTTTTGTTCCTTCGCCCAAAAGCCGCCTGTAGGGGGACACGCCCGACCTAACCCTGCCCGCCTCTGCCCTCCTCTCCGAGGGCCTGGGGTCCAATCCAGGAAGGCAACGAGATCCAGAATACACCGGAGGCGAAGCCAGGACGAGGACGACATCGGGTGCGGGTGAGGAGAAATCGAGAATCTCTGGGATCCTCGCATCTCTGCAGGACGCCTTGGGCGCCGCGGCCGTCTCAGCGCGCTCTGCACAAACGGGCTTCTCCTCGTCCTAGCCTCGCCCGACCACCCCCTCCTGGCTCGGCACTTCTCGAGCCCGACCGCCCTGCCGTGGCCCTGGGGCCCAGCAGCGGGGTGAAAGCGCCCAGTGAAAAAGACGCAGCGCTCGGGCACGCGCCAGGCGTGCCTCGGGAAGCTGCCCCCCCCCCCCCCCCCCCCCACCCCCCCCCCCCCCCCAAAACAGTGGGCCCCTGGCCGCCCCCACTTAGGAGTGCGGATGCGCGCCGGTTTTTTGCACGGAAACAGGGCCCGCCGCTGATCCATGCGGGCCTTTCTTCCCCCCCCCCCCCCCCCCCCCCCGACGGCGCCCCTGGCGCCGCCCCTGGCGCGCTCCGCGCGCCAGGGCGGGGGTCCCGCGCCGATCTGAGAACCCCGCACGAAGGATTGCAAAAAAACCCTTGAACGAAGGATTGCAAAAAAACCCACTTGAACGAAGGATTGCAATCCTTCGGTTTGCAATCCTTCGGTTTTTTGCAATCCTTCGACCTCCGAAAACTCAGACCTTACGCCTGCGCTTCCTCGAAGGGGCGCCCGGATCTGAGGGGGGGGCTGCCTCGCCCGGCCCCCCTCCGAGAGAGAGCGCCCGCGACCCTCGAGTCCCCGTGCTGCACCTCGGAGGCGTCGGCCCCGCAGGCGGCGAAGTTGGCCGCGCACCGCGCGACCTTCCCCTCGTCTACGCTCGGAGGCCGCCGCCTACACGCCGGCCCCGACCTTGGCCGGGCCCGTTCCGGGACCAGGACCAGTGCATACTGCGAGAAGCGGCGCCCGTGCACCGTATACCATGATTGGACTCCGTTCGGGCCCCGCTCCAGTGGGGTCGAATGCACCGCTCTTCCCCACATGTGAAGTGGGGCTTTTAGTTTTCCAAGACACCCCACGCAGGAACCAGAAGAGAACACACGCACCATCACTATCATCACCACCATTGCTACCATCACCATGACCATCACCATCATCATGACCATCCACCATCACCATCACCATCAATGTCATCACCACCATTCTCATCATCACCATCAGCATCAACATCCTCCTCATCATCAGCAGCATCAACATCATCATCAACATCCTCATCATCGTTGTTGTAATCATCATCACTGTCCTCGTTTTCATCGTCATCTTCACCAACATCGTCATCATCACCACCAGCATCGGCATCATCATCATCATCATCATCATCATCATCATCATCATCATCATCATCATCATCATCAGCATCGGTATCAGCATCGGCATCATCATCAGCAGCAGCATAATCATCATCGTCGTCGCCATCATCATCATCATCATCATCATCATCATCATCATCATCATCATCATCAGCATCAGCATCAGCATCAGCATCAGCATCAGCATCAGCATCAGCATCATCATCATCAGCATCAGCATCAGCATCAGCATCAGCATCAGCATCAGCATCATCATCATCATCATCATCATCATCATCATCATCATCATCATCATCATCGTCGCCGCCATCGTCATCACCACACATGCACTCACGCATTCAACTGGCGCGCCCAATCATGAACTTATACATTCAGGGCCACCCACACCTGCCGAGGCAGTCTCGAGCGGTGGCATCGTCTGTGAGTGAATCGCGACGAAGTCTCGAGCGGGCGCCCCTTCTCTGTGGGGCCATCTCTCTTCACGCTCGTGATCCGAGGCGGCCATCGGAGAACCTCTATCAAAAGCACTGGGTATCCCACACCTGGCAACCTGAATCGTGGAGGAAGTCTCGAGCAGGAGCCCCCCTCTCTGTGGGGCCCGCGCTTCAGGTTACTGCCTCGGGGCGCCCGTCGGACCTGTTAACAAAAACATGCGGTTCCACACACACCTGGCAGCCTGAACCTTGAGGAAGTCTCGGGCGGGAGCCTCCTCTCCAGTGGAGCCGCGCTTCATGCTGATGATCCCAGGCGGCCATCGGAAACCATGTGAAACCAGATGGATTCTCACACCTGGCAACATGAATCTCGAGGAAGTCTCGAGCGGGACCCCCCCCCTCGTACTGGGACCTGCGCATCCGATTAGTAATCCGAAGCAGACATCGGAATTCTCGAGCGGAGACGTCGTCTGTGTTTCAATCGGGACGAATTCCAAGCGGGAGCCCCCTCCCCTCCTTCTGGGGCCCGCACTTAACGGCAGTAATCCGAGGCGGCCATCTGAAAACATGCGAAACCACACGAAATCTCACACCGTACAACATCTCGAGCAAGATCCCTTTCGCTATGGGGCCCGCACTTCATTTCCGAGACGGCCATCGGAAGTCTCGAGCGAAGCGTCGTCTGTAGGTGAATCGTGAGGAAGCCTCGAGGGGGAATCCCCTCACAATGGGGCCCGTGCGTCACGTCACTAATCCAAGGCGGTTATCGGCAAACTTGTAACTTTCGTCACTTTGGGGCTTTCGAGGCCTGAACTCTGAGGACGTCTCGAGCGGGAGCCTCGTGCGTGAGTAAATCGTGAGGAAGCCTTGAGCGGCCCTCCACATGGGACCTGCCCTTCATGTGACGACTCTCGGGCGATCATCGGCAGACCTGTAGCTTTTCTCAAGTTTGGGCTGTGAAGGCCTGGATATGAAGGACTTCTGGAGCGGGAGCCTCGTCTGTGCGTGAATCGCGAGGAAGCCTAGGGCGGGACCCCCCCCTCCCTAAGCCCGCGCTTCGTGTCAGTAACCAGGGGGTGGACATCGGCAAACATGCACTCGTCGTCAATCCTGGGCTCTCGAGGCGTGAAACTTGAGGTAACTTCGAACGGGAGCGTCGTCTGTGAGGGAAATTGGGGGTACGTATCGAGCGGGAGCCCCTCCCTATGGGACCCCCGCTTCGTGGCTGCAGCTGTCGTCACTTTTGGGCTCTCGAGGCCTGAGTGTTTGAGGAAGTCTCGAGCAGCAGGGGACTGAAAAGGTGGGAGCAGGAGGAGGACAAAGAGGAGGACACAGAGGAGGAGGAGGAGGAGGAGGAGGAGGAGGAGGAGGAGGAGGAGGATAAAGAGGAGGACACAGAGGAGAAGGAGGAGGAGGAGGACACGAACGGGGAAGACGGAGGAAGAGGAGGAAGAGGAGGGTGGGGGCAGGGGAGGAAGGAGGCGGACGAGAGGGGACCACCACAACGACCACGAGGTCGAGGAATTTCAGCGGCGACATGCTTATGCCAGCTGAAGCGGCGACGGCGCCAAGGAACGTAGACTCGCGCGCCCTGGGTGGAGGAGAGGGGGGGGGGGGGGGAAGACCAGGAGGAGGAGGGAGAGGAAGAGGAGGTGGCAGAAGGAAAAGGCAGGGAGGAGGTAGGAGGTGAACGAGGAGGCGATTGGAGGACGGCCCCCACAACCAAGAAAGACGACGACGAGGACCCAAACAAATCTCAATCGAGTCTTCTGCGGGGTCCTACCGTCGGCGAGACTCGGCTTTGGGAGCCGAGCAACTATGCACCATACCGCTCCTGGGTCGAATGTCGACGACGCCTCAGGAGACGCAAGAAAGACGACGACGAGGACCCAAACAAATTTCAATCGAGTCTCCTGCGGGGTCCTACCGTCGGAGAGACTCGGCTTTGGGAGCCGAGCAACTATGCACCATACCGCTCCTGGGTCGAAGGTCGACGACGCCTCAGGAGACGCCAGAACGGTACGGTGCACACGAGTCGTCCGCGGAAATACGCCCTCCTGGCTTGGCGAGGGAAGCATGCACAACACCCACCAGCGTCAGCCTGGCAGGTGTCGGTGCAGACGCATATGATTACCCTGACATCCGCCGATGGGGTGCTTCTAAAATCCAGCGCCCCAGAAGTCCCGACCCGCTTTCCCGGGAAGGCTAGCTGTTCGCCCCCGATCCACTCTGGACGGTCCCGGGGCCCGATGACCAGCCTCAGAGGCCGACACAGAGGGAAACCGCCCAGATTGACGACCGCCATGTCGTCGGAGGTCTGCTGGGGGCCTCCCAAATGGGGTCCGAGTACGGCGGGTTCGTGTCGTGTCGACCCCCGGCGGTGGCTTCTGCCACCGCGGGGATCGTTCGAGTTTGACCGATCGGCCGTTTCCGAAACGTTCGATCGTTCAGCATCGACCGATTCTGGGTCTCCGGCGGCCTTCGACGCTGACCGCCGGCGGCGGGGTCGCCGCCGGTCGGCACAACGCGAACCTACCGTAGCTGGGATCCGAGGATCGCGCCGCGTCCCCAGTGCATCACCAGTGCATTTTCGATGCATCGACGACGTCGGGGTGGAGAAGCTCGGGCTCCAAGCCGCGCCGCATCGTCGATGCATCGGCGATGCGGCACGACCCTCCGACCCCACCTGCGGCAGGCTCGCGTCGGGACGACCTCGGCGTTGGCTTCTGACACGGCGTGGGCCCTCCAACCCGCGCCAAAGGCGGCGCTTCGATCGCCAGGTCGGTCCAAGACTGGCCGATTCTGGGCCGCTGGCGGCGTTCAGCCTTGGACGCCCGCGGCGGGGTCGCTGCCGCGTCGCCACGACGCGAACCGGCCGCACCCGTACCCCCCACGCAAGAGGCCTGGACCTGGGCAGCCGGCGCCCTCCGAGATGTCTCGGCCCACCAGCCGAGGCGGCTCGCCCTTCCTGGGTGGCGGCAGGAGGGGGGAGGAGGGAGGAGGAGGCGGAGGAGGCGGAGGAGGCGGAGGCGGAGGAGGAGGAGGAGGAGGAGGAGGAGAGGAGGAGGAAGGAGGGGAGGAGGAGGAGGAGGAAGGGGAGGGAAAGGAGGGGTGGGTGGGGGGGAGAGCGAGGAGGAGGATAGCGGAATGATGATGAGCGAGGAGAGAAGGAGGAGGAGGAGGAGGAGGAGGAGGAGGAGGAGGAGGAGGAGGAGGAGGAAGGAGGATGGGAGGGGAGGAGGAGGAGGCGGAGAGGAGGATGGAGGAGGAGGGAGGAGGAAGGAGGAGGAGGAGGATGGAGGGGCGGAGGGGAGGAGGAGGAGGAGGAGGAGGAGGAGGAGGAGGACTCTCCTGAATCCATGGGAGGCGAGGGTGGGGCCCGGACTTCGCCGCGCGCTCGACGAATTCCGAGCCCGCCCATCGAGCTGCCGGCAGCGTTGCTCGGCGAAGGTGCGGCGACGAGGTCCCTCCGTCTCCTCCTCCCCCTCCTACCCGTCTCCTCCTCCTTACCTACTCCTCCGCCTCTACCTGACCGTCGCACATTACTCACCTCCTACTCCTCCCATCCTTCCTCCCGTCCTCCACCTCACTAAAAAATCGCTCACAAAATCGTCCACGGACCCGCCACATCGGGGTCCATCCTGTCTTCGGGCCGCGTGCTCGACGAATACCGAACCCTGCCCCTCGACAAACCCTGCCCCATCGAGCTGCCTGCATCGTTGATCGGCGAAGGTGCGGCGACGAGGTCAAATCCGCTCAAAATCGGTCCACGCCGGCTCTGACTGCAACAGGATGTCTGATGTCCTCGAAGCAGTAAAGAAGGAAAACACTATGGTTGAAGGAAGGCGCCGACAAGCGCATACTTGTCTCCAGAGGTCCACGGACCCCTCTCGGGGTCCATCTGGTGCATTTTGCTCAACATGGACCAATTTCAGACGGTCCCGGGCCCCGAATGAATGAATGCAATCCGGGTGTCGAAGCACATGGGCAGTAATGCAACACTATGGGCAGTAGTGTCGCACAGCGGCTTTCCAGGCTTCTGCTGGGATTGCCGCGAGCTGTCGAAAATCATACGCATGGCTCTCGCAGACTCTCTTCGCATGCTTGGCCGAAAGAGGCCGAAAATGGCAATACAGTCGAACCTAGGCCAGAAAAAAACATCCAAGGGTACCCCCCCAAGGATGCACAAAAACATCCCACGAGCACGAAGAACACTAGGGCACCCTCCCCGAACCGACCCCGATCTGATGCCGCGGTCCGACTGTGCACATTTTCGCTCGAGTTTTTCGTGTTCGCCCTCCTCCTCGGAGGCGAGGGTAGGGTTCGGAGTTCGCCGCCGACTTCCAGGCGCGCGCGGCCGCCAGCAACAGCGTGCCCAGGCCGCAGGCTGGGTCCACCTCGGGGACGCACTGAGCAGGGTCGGTGCAAGCCTGGGTCAGCCACGCATTGCAGGATCAGTAAGACGAAGCCAAGACGGTGACACAATCGGGTGAGGATAAGCCGAGAATCTCTGAGATCCGGCGGCTCTGGAGGATGCCTCGGCCGCCGCGGCCTTCTCAGAGCGTTCCAGAACGCTCTGAAATGGATCCTAGCCCCGACCGAATCAGGATCCCGCGCAAGCCCAGAGCAATGCACCCCTGGCACAGCAGGATCCTGCAAGATCCGGCGCTCTGGCTGACCGTGTGCATTGACCCCCGTCTCTCTTCGGACGCCCGAAATTGATATGGAACAATGGACACAATGCCCAAGAACACATGTTGTCCAAGACCGACAGCGGCCGCTGTTGGGCAGGCGGCCTTCTGTCTCAAAAGGACAACGTCCGCGGCGACGCCGACAACGAGCCTTGTTTAAAAGGGGCAAGAAATACTGTCGGTCTTCGTACCCACTCCTTCCGTACACACCCTGATATCTGCCGACATGATCTTTTCAATCCGCAGCCCCAGAGGTCCCGACCACCTTCTTTGGGGCCAGTCTTCCACGACTCGTGTTTGTGGTCCCCGGAGCCCGATGAAGCGCCCCAAGGGAAAACGCCGGGATTGGGAAAGTCACAGCATCGGACCTCATCGGCTACGCGCAAGAGTCACCCTGGGTAAGACTGACCTTTGGTGCGCGGCCTTTTGGGGGACCGCGGGGTGACCAAACACAAGCGCGCATGACGCTGCTATCGCATCGCGTTCGGCGATCGGGGGACACCACTGGGCCCACACCCACCAGAGGTCACTCCAGCGAAGGGGCACTCCAAGCGTACTCCGAGCTTCTTAATCAGCGTCGAGGGGCGTCACCCCCGCCGACAGCCCCACGTCGACCCCCGTCGCGGGCAGCCACCGCGCGCCGAAGGCGCTCCGACCCCCGTCGCGGCGCGACGACGATCGTCGCGAGGTTGACCCCCGTCGGGGGAGGAGGAGGAGTAGGAGGAGGAGGAGGAGGAGGGAGGAGGAGGGGGAGGAGGAGGAGGAGGAGGAGAAGGGAGGAGGGAGGAGGGAGGAGGGAGGAGGAGGAGGAGGGGCACCCCCCCACGCTTCTTCAGAACCCCAGAGCAGCCGACAAAGACCACACCTCGTCGGACCTCAGAGCACCCAGACACCCGCCTGCTCCACTCTCTGTGGCTGCGTGGGCCCCGGAGGCCCGCCCCCGGACCGCTGCCTCGCCCCGGGCCGCTTCCTGACGCCCCCGAGGCCCGGCGTGGGCCCCCGAGGGCCGAGAGCGGCCGAAAACACCGCCTGCTCCAATCTCCGTGGATGCGTGGGCCCCGGAGGTCCGGCTACTACCGCTTCCACGGGTCGCTTCCTGACGACGCCCCCGAGGCCCGGCGTGGGCCCCCGAGGGCCGAGAGCGGCCGAAGACACCCGCCCGCTCCACTCTCCGTGGATGCGTGGGCCCCGGAGGCCCGGCTACCGCTTCCCCGGGACCGCTGCTTCGCCCCGGGTCGCTTCCTGACGACGCCCCCGAGGCCGGGCGTGGGCCCCCGAAGGCCGAGAGCGGCCGAAGACACCGCCCGCTCCAGTCCCTGTGGGGCGCGGATGTCCGCGGAGGAGGAGGAGGAGGAGGAGGCAGAGGAGGAGGGGGAGGAGGAGGAGGAGGAGGGGGAGGAGGAGGAGGAGGAGGAGGAGGAGGAGAGGAGGAGGGAGGGAGGAGGGAAGAGGGGTGGGAAGGGAGGAGGAGGGAGGGAGGAGAGGAGGGAGGAGAGGAGGAGGAGGAGGAGGAGGGATGAGGAGGAGCGAGGAGGAGGAGGAGGAGAAAGAGGGGAGGAGGGAGGGAGGGGAGGAGGGAGGAGGGAGGAGCAGGCGTCGGGCACGTCGACCGCACCGATCTTGCGGCCCGCCCACCACGGCCCGCCCGCCGCTCGGGCCCGCGGCCTCGGCGGCGAGGGCGGCCATGGCGCCCGCGAGGTGCGTGTCCATGCCGGCGCGCGGCACGGCGCTCCTCGGCGGCGCGCGCGAGGGGCCTCCTCAGAAGTGTGATCACACTTGTCTTGTTTTATCACACTTGTTGTTTATCACTTGGTGGCGTTTTTTAACCTTGTTTTTTAGCCACCTCCTACGTCCTACTTCCTCCTCCTCCTCCCTCCCTCCTCTCCCCTACCCTCCTCCCTCTGCCGTCTCCTCCTCCCCCTCTTCCCCCCACCTTGCTCCTGTGCTCCTGCTCCTCCTCCTCCTCCTTCTCCTCCCCCCTCCCCTCCCCCTCATCCTCATCCTCCTCCTCCTCCGCTCCTCCTCCTCCTCCTCCTCCTCCTCCTGCCTCCTCCGCTTTTCCTCTCCTCCTCTCTCCCCCTCCCCCTCCTCCTCCTCCTCCCCCCCCTCCTCCTCCTCCTCCTGCTGCAAGATCCTGCAGGATCCTGCGCGCCGGCCCAGGTCCATGCAGGACCCTGGCGTTGCAGGGGTCCTGCAAGCTCGGGCGCTCTGGCCGACCCCCGCCTGCGTTGACCCCCGGCTCAAGGCTCCCGAGATCAGGGAAACCTTCGGCGGCCCGAGACGGCCCAAGAGCCCCCAAAGATCGCCCAAAGATCGCCCAAGAGGCCTCCAAGATGGCCCCAGAACGGGCCAAGAGGCCCCCAAGACGGCCCCAGGAGGCCCCCAAGATGGCCCAGGAGGCCTTTAAGACGCCCAAGATGGCCCCCGGGGCCCTCGCTGGGCCCCCGAGGCCGTCGAAGAACGCATCGAGGAGGAGAACATGGTCCCGGGGAAGGGGTCCAGGTCCACGCTGTGGAAACGTCACGACGCCGGAAGGCGGGCTCCGCAGAAGGCAGGGGCCCGATCAGGAGGGCCCCAGGGGGCTTAGAGGAAGGCTTCTCAGACGATCTCGTATTTCTCGAGAAGGGGATCCACTACAGAATTGTTTTAGCCCAGACTTTCTTTTTCAGTAGAGCATGTCACAAATAAATCGAATGCTCCTCAGATCTGCGTGGGTTTCTTTGCATTTTTTAAATGCATTTGACGGAACAGCGATATTCAGGGTACGCCAATGCTGCAGTCGACCCCCTGCTCGAGTTCTCAAAAGCGCAGCCCCAGATGCCCCGACCCCTCCCCGAAGGCCGCGGTTTCGCCCTCGATCCGCCTGTGATGGCCCCGAGGCCGAGACCCGAGGACAGGCCTCGGAGCAGGGCGGTTGGAGACACCGGGAATTCTCCTCCTCCTCCTCCTCCTCCTCCTCCTCCTCCTCCTTCTCCTTCTCCTTGTCCTCCTCCTCCTCCTCCTCCTCCTCCTCCTCCTGCTCCTCCTCCTTCTCCTCCTCCTCCTCCTCCTCATCCTCCGCTTCCTCCCCCCATTCCTAGCCCTTTCGATCAGGGTCGGCGGCGCCGGCCGTCAGGCCTCTCCATTCGGTCCCAGACCCCTTCCGGGGTCCAAACGCACCAGTCTCCTGCGCTTCAAGTAGGGGATCGGCTACAGAATCGATTGAGCCCACAGTTCGTCTCCCATCGAATCGACGACACGCATGGAGCGTGCAGTAGATCCTACTGAACATTCGACGTACTTTTCGTAGACTCCGACGGGAGAACCAATCTGGGGGCACATCGACTCTGTAGCCCATCCCCTACTCTTAGGTCGGGCCTGTCCCCCTACAGGGGGATTTTGGACGATGCATAGAACAGATCCAACACATGCTCAAAATATCCTCCCAAAATACTCAAAAAATAGGCCCCAAACTATTCTTTGTGACTATCTTTGAACCTTCCCCCCTGTAGACCCAGACCCCCGACGTTGTGATTTTTTCACAACGTCGACCCCCAGAGGTCTGGACCCCTTCCCCTTGACCGGTTCTCGTCCCGTTT